CGGAGGCTTTTTTGCCTGGGGCGGCAAAAAAGCCAGAGCCGGCCCTGGCTGCAATAAATTATTGTGCTGTCATATTATATTCTGAAAAAAAATCTTCACTTTTGAACTGCAGCAAACCTTTATTCTGGCTTGTCAGGATTTTTTTTATTATTTTTTGCAAATTTGTTTTACTTTTTTTTCCAATTTGTATCTATTTTTATTTTTAAGATTTTTATTACTTTATTTTAACCTATTCAGCAGTGGGGTGGTCTTCCCTATGGCCAGGGGCTTGTCGTCCTCCTTGCAGCCCTGGCTTGGGGTCTCTTATCTGCCTCACCAGCACCACAGCCTTCCCCACACCTTGTGCTTATGGGGATTGGGTGTCACTGGACCTGCAGCCATGCAAGGAGCTCTCTGCAGCCTTGCTATCATAGCCCCTCTCCCTGACTCCCATGTCAGCAGGGCTGCGGAGGGCTCCCTGAGATGTTGCATGGCCTGTGACACCCACTCCCTGAAGGCGCAAAGTGAAGGGGGCAGGCTATATCCATATCCATATCCGATGGATAGTTTATTCATCAATTTCAGTGCATCAGCTGAAATCAACATTTACTGATATCTATGGATTTAAATCGAATCCTGCCAAGCCTGCCTATATTGCATTCATTCTAATCACTCAAAGTATCAAAAGCCCAGAACTTGATGCTATCAGTAGTGTTGTCAATTTTTTTCTTCAGAAAAGGTGTGTACATTCAGTACAAAGATATAAAAACCTTTTGTTTGGTTTTTTAAAGGGTCACTTGTCAAGGAAACAGATCCCAGATTGAATTTTACAGTATGCTTAAAATATCATTTAAATAATCATGACTATCACATCTTAAACTCCCACATGTCCTCCCAGACATAACACTAATCGTGAAGAAATTATCAGCCCTCTGAAATGAAACAATGTCTGCCTCTCAGCTAGGCAACCAACCAAAACTCTCCTAACATTCTGGGTTTGTTTGCAGTCTCAGGCATATGACGCACTGTCTGTGTTCTGTCTGCCAAGTCTTGTGACTGGGTATTGAAATTTACAAGCAGGATTCTTGTAAACGTCAATACTTAGACCATAAAAAATAAAAAAGCCCTCAGGTCAGACTGATAGTGTAATAGGCTTATGAGAGTGTGTGAATCAAGAATCTGCCTGCCTTTATAGTGTCCTTTTTAAGAATGTATTTATTTTTTTGATGAGCTGAACCAAAAATACTTGGATGTTGTTTTAGATACATGAAAGGTCAGAATAAAAGGGGGCAAATGGCTGTGCATTGAGAGAGCAGGAGAGGTAGCAGGTAATGCTGGCTTCCCTCTAGCAGAAAAAAATCTGTTACAATTTTCCCTCTCATCTCATGGCCGCATATCCTCCGTTTGATTGTCAGTACTCCAGCATGAACAGCCTTTTTTGGATGGCACTGCACCCCCATAATCCTTTGCATTTAGAATGACAGGCATTCTGTGTGAAAAGGATGAAGGGTATGCATGCATCTGTGAAGCAGGGAAGAGAAAGGAGAATGTTCTGAGGAGTCGACAGTCAAGTAGAGAACGATGACATTCAAGAGATAAAAGGACCAAATATTTATCCTATCTGGGATAGCTTCTCCAGTATTGCATGCAGTAGTTGGAGTTCTGCCCACATTCCTCTACTAACACCCAACCAATTCCTACAGCACTCCTTTAGTCTGGTATCCCTGTACTGTTGGTCGCATATGCAAAGTGTTACATGGAACACAGTCGTACTGAACTGGCAATGTTTTGAACTCCTGTGCAGGCTTCACTAGCATTGGAAATATTAATGGAAGGAGATGAGATCTTTGGGTCAGGCACAAGAATACTTTTTAAAAGTATTCCATTTTTTACCTTTTTCAGTCCAGAAAGAGTGAGGAGGGTCAGATGCTGAGGGATGGGGAAGAATAGATAGTGCTAGGAAAAAGTAAAGGGAAGAAAAGCAGAGAGAAGTTGGATAGAGACACAGAGGAAAAGGAAGGGAAAAGCACATTCTCATTTTACCCTTCTTTTAAATGCCAGAACTATGTCCCCGTCCTGTGCTATATTGCCTTTCCATTTCTCCCCTTCCCTCTGATTCTCTGGCCACCTTCACAGCTAAACAGCAGCAAAAGTTTTCAAACAATGACAGATATTTCAGTATCTTCTTTTCTCTGAACTATATGATGAAAATAGGGGTTTTTTTAAATAAAAAAGTCTCAATTATTAACGGTAAGCATAGCAAGGTTGAAGTCTGCATTACTGGCATATTTATTCATTACTTTCCTGTAGATACTGGATCAATAAGCTATGGCAAATATAATTCCAGTTTTCAGAATACTATAATATTCTTTAGCTCTGGAGTATCATTCACTTAAGGAGAATTATTTTAAAACATCTTCATTATAGGAATGCTTGATCAGACGTTTACAAGTTTATTTTTCTATTGCAGTCAACTTTCCAGATGTTACAGTTGACAGCAGATGCAGAAATTGATACACATAACCCAGAATTATTTGTAATTGGAGAGAATACCCTAACTGTGAGTGTTGTTCAATGGAAGTGTTTTCTTTCTTTATATTTTACTATATCTAAAGGCTAATATTTGATTTTAATGTCCCTGAGAAGTATGTGGCAGGTCACAGAAAATCTGCTCATTTGCTTGAATATGTTAAGTTGGTTTTATTCACTTGTCTGTTTTTAAAGTTGTTGAAAATGTTACAGTTTCAGCTGGCTGGTGTTTCTACAAACGCTGTTTAATTAATTTGTGTGAGCTTGCACACCTGAGTTTTGTTGTGAATGAACTCTAAAACTACCAGCAAAAGTCAGTAGAAACCTCTAAGGTTCAACTGATTTCATGTAAAAAATGTCAAATTTTGCATAGGTTTTACCATAAAACAATAAATTGACCTGGATTCATGAACTTTAGGAAACATTTCAGCAAATCTCATCTGAGTTTTAAGTTCTATTTGCATAGGTGCATTTTGGTATATTTGTGACTGTTTTGCACGGTTCTAATGATGACCAAAATCACATCTACACTGTAACATGTTGCAGAGTATACTCCAATTTAGAATGGATGTAATATGGACATATTTAATAATCTTGGTGTTCTAGTGACTCTTATCTTAAATACTCTTTGTTGTACACACTGCTATGGTTTAGAATGTTTCCTCCCAAGGATTTAGTTCATTAATATGTAAATTTAAATAGTGTTGGGAAAATGCTTTTGTTACAACAGTAGAAACAAAAACATCTTCTTCCCTTGGTCTGGGTATGGGTTGACATTACTTCACCTGGAATACTGGTTTTGTATATCTTTTTAGAGAACTTCCTAGTCCATCTGATCCAAAAAATAGATCTATTTCAAGACCTTTGGGGATTGGAATGCAACTCAAGAAACAAGCTAATAAGGGAGTCAGCTTAGTGATAATAATGAGCATCAGCACCCAGTTGCAGCTAATGGAAAATCCAATTAAATATGTACTAGGGCAGTTATTGATTGACCTATCTCCAAGTGGAAATAAGGCCAAAGCACAGTACTACTTTTGTCGTCATTGTTCCCATGAAACTTTGCACTTTGTAAAGAGATTCTAAATGGGTCCATTTGTACTCAGGCATATATTCAGTTCCTGGAGAACTGCTGAAAAGAAGAGAAAGTATATTTGTGGGTTTGAAGAATTTCACACTATCCCCAAAAGAGTAGATGCCAGTGTTTGGACTAGCATGATACTTGGAGTGTCCTAGATCATATGACATGTATATCTCAAATCTCTTTCTCTTTGTTGTTACCCTAATTTAATTCTTATACATAAATTATACCAACAAAACAAGATCATGAAACTGATTGTAGAAAATGTTATTTGTGATTAAGAAATTAATCCTACATGAATGTAAGTTTCTTGTGTATATACAGTAGGGCTGTTGATTAATCGCAGTTAACTCACGCAATTAACTCAAAAAAATTAATCACGATTAAATGCAATTTTAATCACACTGTTAAACAATAGAATACCAATTAAAATGTATTAAATATTTTGGATGTTTTTCTACATTTTCATATATATTGTATTCTGTGTTGTAAATGAAATCAAAGTATATATTATTATTGATTACAAACATTTGCACTATAAAAGATAAACAAAATAAATAGTATTTTTCAATTCACCTCATACAAGTACTGTAGTGCAATCTCTGTGTAGTGAAAGTGCAACTTACAAATGTAGATTTTTTTTTTTGTTCTTACATTACTGCACTCAAAAACAAAACAATTTAAAACGTCAGAGCCTACAAGTCCACTCAGTCCTACTTCTTGTTCAGCCAATCGCTAAGACAAACAAGTTTGTTTACATTTACAGGAAATAATGTTGCCCTCTTCTTATTTACAATGTTACCAGAAAGTGAGAACAGGCATTTGCATGGCACTTTTGTAGCTGGCATTGCAAGGTATTTACGTGCCAGATATGCTAAATATTCGTATGCCCCTTCATGCTTCGGCCACCATTCCATAGGACATGCTTCCATGCTGATGATGCTCGTTAAAAAAATAATGCATTAATTCAATTTGTGACTGAACTCCTTGGGGGAGAATTGTATGTCCCGTGCTCTGTTTTACCCACATTCTGCCATATATTTCATGTTATAGCAGTCTCGGATGATGACCCAGCACGTTGTTCATTTTAAGAACACTTTCACTGCAGATTTGACAAAATGCAAAGAAGGTACCAATGTGAGATTTCGAAAGATAGCTACAGCACTCGACCCAAGGTTTAAGAATCTGAAGTGCCTTCCAAAATCTGAGATGGACGAGGTGTGGAGCATGCTTTCAAAAGTCTTAAAAGAGCAACACTGCAATGAGGAAACTACGGAACCCGAAGTACCAAAAAAGAAAATCAACCTTTTGCTGGTGGCATCTGACACAGATGATGAAAATGAACATGCATCAGTCTGCGCTGCTTTGGATTGTTATCAAGCAGAACCCGTTATCAGCATGGACACACGTCCTCTGGAATGGTGGTTGAAGCATGAAGGGACATATGACTCTTTAGCACTTCTGGCACATAAATATCTTGCGATGCCGGCTACAACAGTGCCATGAGAATGCCTGTCCTCATTTTCAGGTGACAATGTAAACAGGAAGTGGGCAGCATTATCTCCTGCAAATGTAAACAAACTTGTTTGTCTGAGCGATTGGCTGAACAAGAAGTAGGACTGAGTGGACTTGCGGTCTAAAGCTTTATATTGTTTTATTTTTGAATGCAGTTATTTTTGTACATAATTCTACATTTGTAAGTTCAACTTTCATGATAAAGAGATTGCACTACAGTACTTGTATTAGGTGAATTGAAAAATACTATTTCTTTTGTTTTTTTTACAGTGCAAGTACTTGTAATAAAAATAAATATAAAGTAAGCACTGAACACTTTGTATTCTGTGTTGTAATTGAAATCAATATATTTGAAAATGTAGAAAACACCCAAAAATATTTAAATAAATGGTATTCTATTATTGTTTAACAGTGCGATTAATCGATTAATTTTTTTAATCACACGATTAATTGTGATTAATTTCTTTAATCGCTTGACAGCCCTAATCTACAGTAATCTTCTATGTGTCCTGCATTATAAGTTTTGGATCCATAATTGAGTTGTGAGAGGTTCGGTTACAGCAGCATGTGTTCAATAGAGAGTTAGAAAAATATACATGGTGTGCAGAATGAATATTGGAAGAGTGTATGTGTGTCCTCCACTTTTTAGTGATTCCAGATCACTTGAAAAAAATATCATTTCTAGTTCTCTTAGGGTGAAATCCTGGTCCCACTGAAATCAGTGCAAGTTTTGACACTGATTTGAATGGTTCATATTGCAGGTGTGATTTTGGCCATATTGTAGTGGTTGGGAGGCGGGGGGGAGATGTTAGTTTGCAGTATTTTTATTTCAAAGGACATTTCCTCCAAATCAACTGGACCCTCAAGTCTCCCTGCCACCAGAGGTCTGTATGTAAATTCAGGTTTTCTCCATCTCTTTCTCTCACTTCTCAAATTTTCCCCTTTCCACGTCAGATGGTAGCATGCCTGGCTGAGAATCCCTTACCAAATAACTTAATTTTTTTTATTTTTTTGATGAGATATTTTGTTGAGATATTTAAGGCGTCTTATGCACCCTTACTCCCTTGTACCACCATGCAAGCTGGGCCACAGTTTGGCCCTAAGAGAGTGCCATTTGCATGTAGTGACTTTTCAAAGTGTAGAGCTGCCTTTTAAAAGGAGGCAGCTTCAGCATTATTTTAATATCCGTAACAGTTCCAGTCAACCGTCACATAAAAGCAGCTTTTCCTCTATTGCAAATTAGAGAAGCTTGTTTTCAGCACAAATGAATTGAATGTTGTCCCTGAGTAATTGGGTGGAGAAGCTTTTTAGATGTACTTGGTATAAGAAATCTTCAGATTTTTTCCAGTTAGAAAGCACTGCCAGTTGAGAACAAAGTACAGAAAGTTTACCTGCTAAAATCATTATTGTGGCTGTTCAGTTATAAAATGCATGAAGATTGTTGCAGTGAAATGGATACACATAGCCACACCTAACACAATAACAGCGTTCCAATAGTAAATCATTGACGTGTCAGTGTGGCTTTCCCAGAAAGCTTGAGACTAAATTCCATCAGACAAAGCTGAGAGCAAGCAACCCTGAAAAAATACATTGCTGTGGTTTATCAGGTTTCACAGCAAGCAAAACCTGTTCCCATTATAACTCTTTATAAACATTAACTACTCTCATATGAAAATTAAAATGTGCCTCCAAAATGTTTAAAGTTCCTGAAACTTGCAAGTAGTATTAATCAGAAGTGAAGTTTATAAACCTTAGACTAAGAGGTCTAGAAGAGCAATTGTAAATATCCATCCAAGTTTATTATCAGACTTAACCCATGTACAACTAACTAGTTCCATGGTAGCTGTCACCTGGAAATTAGTTAATTTCAAGGTATTTTGGGGGCTCTGTATTCAAATAGTAGGAAATCTTCTGACCAGTGAGAAGCATGGCAGTGTCTAGGAACTCAAGGGAAGAGCAGATCCCAGCACAATTCCACCTTTTCTGTCCTTCCAACTTGACCCATCTCCTCTTGCTGCTACTTCAGGCTAAAAACTGGTAGTGGAAACCTGGCTAACGTTAAGGGCAGAGAAGAACTAGTACAGATCTTAGAGTAGTTTCAAGTAGGGTGTTAGGACCTGCAAGCAAAGAGCAGGAAGCCATCCGCCTGCTGGGATGAGAGGATAATGTATGAACTTCCGTGTGTATGAGCAAATAATGTTGCCTTCTTGTGTAGTACTGGCTACTACTGTCAGTTTGGACTAGTTCTCTTTTAGCTGAAGTAGCAGAGGCCTTTGTTGTGTGAAGATGGAGGACCAGACCATCCCAGTTCTAGTCCCAGCCCCAAGTCTTTGTTTGTGGGTATATGTGATTTATCTAGCAGTGGTCTCTGTCTGCAGTGCGTGGATTCACTGCAGAAGGATTCTCATTAAAGGAAGGAGAAGGAGGTGATGAAGACAAGATTACTCTTCCTCTTTGTTCTGTGAGCTCTGCAGAGACCATCTTGTTATGTGTTTGTATGTCACCTAAAATGATGGCACCGTCATCTGTAGCTGGGGTGCCTATGCACCACCACAATGCCAATATCTATTAATAAAAATAGGAAATAGCTATTAACCCCAGCAAATCAGACAATAATTCTGGTGCAGCCTTTTGCCAGGGAATCTGTACAGCTGTTCCAGCTAAATAAAAGATGGGGATTAGAAAAACTTCTTTAATATTGTTCATGTTGATACACAACAAATAAAACTGTCCGCTTGTTATACCAATAGAATAAAAACCAGCAGGATCTTATTAAGAGGGATAAGGCAAAGATGCCACATTTATTGTAAATATAATGGTAAAGCAAAAGATAAAAGTAAACATTGACTACTTATTCCTATCACTACTTATTCCTTATATACACACACACACACACATATATAGATTCATTCACACAATCATTCATTCAAGTTCAGTATAGGTGTTATAGTTACCAGCCTAGAAGTTGCTCATGCCAAGTTACTGGCCAGATATCTTGGTCATGAGGATGGAGCCAAGTCTGTGTCAGATGCACCTGATGCTCCTGGAGGTTGGCAGCAGAACCAGAGACTCAAAGTCATCAGTCTTGAGAGTCCATTCTTATAGGAATTAATTCCTATGTTAGTCTATGGGAGCTGTTTCATCCTGCTGTTGCTGACTCAATCAGCAAGTGGCACATTCCTGGACTCATTCCTGGTGGCTCCAAACTGTCCAAAGTTTGTGTTTCTCATCCTTCCAGGTGATGGGGTGGATCCCAGTTTACCCTCCGGGGGTTGTCTAGTCATCCACTTGACACATTCTTCGGCCGATGGATACTCCCTTTCTAGGCTGCACCTCCCTAACCATTCATGTATATCAAGCATTCATCAGCATACATTCCATATCTTAACCATATTTTAATTTACTGTCTCCACCACTTTCAGAGTGTGTGCTAATTCATTTGAGACTCCCGGCCCTTTAATCACAGAGGGTGGGGGTCTGTCCTAGGAGCCGTTGAATGAAGTGAAAGTCACTTAACGGCTTATAGTGTTTATTTACATTGTATCAATTACTTCAAGAACAAAGTCAATTAACTTGTTTGTAAGTTTTACGTAGTAATAAAGTATCTTTCACAGGATAGATATAATCAATGGTTTCTACAGACAGTAGCTTACAAGTTTTAACAGAAGACACAAGAGATTTTTGTACTTGGTGAAACTGTTGGATTTTAAAGTGTGGGGGACAAATTATGAGGGGGTCACTGTCACTTGGGGGAATCACTGTTAGTACCTTCTTTAATATCCCTACACGCTTTCAGATCCCAGTGACAATAATGAAGCCTGAGGAGAAAGCGGAGGTGCCCATCGGAGTTGTGATAGGAAGTATACTGGCAGGACTACTATTGCTGTTAGCGTTGGTTGCTGTTTTATGGAAGGTGAGTAGATATTTATATCTGTAAAAGTAAACCAATGAAAGTTCCCACCTGAATACACCAGGGCTATCTTAGGAATTACTGTGTAATCATGCCGAACAATCATTTATCTGCAACTTGGGGAGAAAAATATTTTTATTAGTATTGCACCTTCCGTGTGAGGATCTCAAAGTACATTACAAGGGATCCTTACAGCAGCCCTGGGAAATATGGAAAATTATTATAATACATTTAATAGACAAGGAACAGGTAAGCATTGACTTCCTGTATAACCATAGCACCTCTGTTTTCTGATAGGTGTCAGCCTACCTCCATGACTCGCAAGCTGTGCTCTGCACATACCTCCAGTGTTCCAAGGGGGCAGGCTGGGCAGCAGGAGGGATGGGGGTGGACTTTGGGGAAAGATGGGAAAATGAACAAAGATATGCAAGAGGCAGGCGGGGTGAGTGGGAGATGGAGAAAGGAAGAGGCTTGTGGGAGGAGGGCGAGGAGGGACTAAGGAGAAGAGCTATCCAGGGTGTCTGGTTTTGGGAAAGGCAACAGATTGTCTCTGCACCAAAGCATTGGTGTTTGAAGGGCTCCGTGGTGCACCAAGGCAACTGCTCCCTGGGGAGCTCTTCTAGATTCTATGCTTCGTCATAAAGACACTTGGCTGCACAGCTCTGCTGCTTTGGCACTTGATTGTACCAAGCAGCAGCTTGCTTTTTTGTGTGTGTGTGTGTGTGTGTGTGTGTGTGTGTGTGTTTGGGGCTATACTTTGAACCTGAATGCTCGGGGAAGGCGGATGAAGACATGCCTCCTGCTTTTAAGAATTTTCTTCTTCTTCTTTTTTTTTTTTAAGAAACTACTGTGTGAGTCAAGAATCAGGTTTAAATTAACAGCTTGCTAATTAGAGTTGGTAGGGAAATGATAGTTTTCTACCACAAAAAAATATTGAAGAAAGTGTGTGTGGGGGGGGAATTCTTTCATAAAAACATTATTTTTTTTGAGGAGGAGGAGGAAGGTTGCCAAAAAAAAAAAAAAAAAACATTTACAACCTGAAAATTTTAGCTAACGTCTGTTTTTTCTCAAAAATTAGTTTTTCATAAAAAAAAAAGTTCTGATGAAAATGTTTCTATCAGCTGAGAAATGTAGTCTCAAATGACTAAATAAATGGCATGTGTAGATCTTCTAATCCTAGTACCTTTCATTACCAGGCAGCACAAAATAGACAATATACATGGCTGACAAACTATTTTCAAAACTTCTTACAGCTTGGCTTCTTCAAGAGAAAATATGAAAAAATGACAAAGGATGTAGAAGATATTGACGAAATTACAGAACTCACAAAGGACAAAGATTGAAAACAACAGTGATGGGAATACAGAACTAATCCTCTGAGCCACAAACAATGGCTGTGGTCCAATTAGATCTTCAGCTGGAGTGCCTTAAAGTTCAATAACTGTTAAACTTGGTTTTTAAGTAATGAAAATATTTTACAGATTCTTCTGTATTGTAAGAGTAACTGCAGGTCAGTTTTTTTTCCACAAATGATTTATAGTATATTTTCTTGTATATTTTTTTCCTTGCAAACAAATTAGCCCTTGAATCAGGCAGGTCTGGAGTATGCACCTTGTGGCAGAAATCCCACTTCTGTTCCACAAAGAGCAAAATAGAACAACTTTTTTCAGATTTTGGAACGATATCAGTCCAGGTTAATAGGCTCTTGGTAAAAATGATTTTTTTCTACTAACTAAATTATCTAGATGAAATCATTGCATGATGAATATTGATTCAGGACATGGAAAAGAAAAGCTCAGTTTGCGGTTTATTAGCTACATTTTGATTGTCTTGGAGAACTGACTCACATTTCCCATCAAATCTGAGTCTTAACTAATCCATAACGTTACAGGTTGTATATATTATAAAATGGGCAATGCGTCCTGATTTGGGAATGAAGACTCCAGACTATGCCCTAATATAGGATGTCTGGATGGGTTCACCATACCAAGTACATCACCATATTCCTTTCACTAAGGTGACAACAATTACTTTTTTACAGTGTGTGTCAATTGTAAAGTACTTCTAAATGAGACATGCTCCTGCCTTAGTGCTGCCTTGCATGTTTTGTCTCTTTTAAAGGCAGAAGATCTGAATTTGAAAACTCACTGTGACTTGCTGTCATTACCAGGTGCTACTGTGGCAGTTTTCAAATTCTCAACACTACTCCAATCTATTTAAATTTTACTTCTCTGAACCCTTGTCTTGTGCTGTTCACCATCTAATAAGGGAGAAATAACAGGCCTATATTTATTATTATTAAAAATCACTTACTATACCTTTAAATTTACATGTCATTTTTCTGTAACCCAAAGAGCAAAGCTGAACTGAAAACCTTTATTCATAATCCTTACGGCAGTAACACCAGACTATTGGCATGAGTACGAAGATGCAAGATTTTGCCTTTGTTCAGTAGCTGACAATAAGGCAGAAGTGAAAGTAAGTGTCTGGTGTATTATAGGGGCACAGGAAAAGCTAAGTAATGTGCAGCTAGTGTGACAAAGAACAGTGGAAGATCTGTTCTATATTGGTGCTTGTACCACTCTCATTGTTGTATTAATTGAGTGCCTTTCAGTGGTGCATTAAGCAGCATGACTACTGTCACATGCTGTTTGTTCTTATATAGCTAAAGAACTTTTATAAGTAACTTATGTTTTGTACAATTTAAAATACTGTAGTACTTTTGAAAGAAAAGTTTTAAGAGTTAAAAAGGAACGCTTATTCAGGTGGCCTTATGTTACGCTGTTTAATTTACATAACAATTTTCTATTTAAGTGACTTTATGTTATATACCCTTTGCTTTAAAACAAAATCTTTGAATTTTAGGTTTGAAAAACTAAGAATCTCCATGTTAAAGAAAGAGCCCACACCAATCTTGTGGGCTGAGATAATTGAACTTTTGGTTGCCTCACTCTCGTGACAGGCAGTTAACCTCACAACAAGCACATCACCTGTTGTGATATGCTTTTCTTTACATATTTTGGATTCGAAATAAGGTTGTGTCTGATAGAAGACAATTATCTGAAGGGTGTAAAATTTTCAAAGGGACCTAAATCCCATTTTCAAAAGAGACTTAAGAGTCTAAGTCCTCTTGACATTCAGTTAGACTTTAGGCAAAGATTTTTAAAAGTACCACTCTTTTCTATGAATGTGACTGAGACTCCTACATCACTTAGAACCTTTATAAATTTTTACCCTTAGTCTCCTAAGGGCCCAAGTCACTTTCAAAAATTGGACTTAGGCTCCTAAATCACTTACGCAATTTTGAAAATTTTTACCGAAAGTCTTCTTAGTTAGTAAACAGTAGCCAGCTAAGCCACTGACTTCCCTGGCTGGCTGGCAGAGGTGTCATTTGGAATAACAGCTGAATTATTTTCAGTCTATCGGGTGTTTGTTTTTATTCTAGAAGTTTTTTTATATTTTCATATTCTATTTTTTATGGTGACATGTTGAAAGACAATCTGGATCCCAAACTCGATTGTCTGACAGATAAATACAGTTGCCACCAGTTGAGTTTGTGGCCAAACTGAGTTTTTAAAAATTAAGTTGTGTTCTAAACAATTCCTTAAAGAACAAACTTCTGACTCGCAGTTATAAACCCTGGGTGCATCGACTAGCACATGCGACCTAAGATTGAAGATAAAAATTGGTCTCCTGCCTCAATTCTCTTTTAACAACTTGAAAAAAAAATTGCACCCATACTGTACTTGCAAAAGCCTCATACATAATTAATCTTGTGCATTCAAAGCAAGGAGAGGAATTTAACAATGCAGTGGATGGTAAAATCTTTCATTTCTTGTGCCTTTTGGTGGTGCATGTAATGGAACCCAGGCAGGCAGCCAGTTTTTATTGTCAGTCACAAGTTGAATGTGCAGAGGAGTGTATTACATCCAGGGTTTTAGGTGAGTGATTACATTCACTTGCCATGACTGGGTTTTTCATTGTCCCAGGTGTTAGGATTTTTTACCTAGTCTGGAAGAAGTACTGTTCTCAAACTACAAGGAAAGCAGAGCATAAGTAGGGTTTTGCATCTGTCACTTAGCCATTTAATGTTACTTGTTTGGTGGGTTTGTTTGTTTTGTGTTTGGTTTGGGGTTTTTTTTTTGTATGTGTATTTTTTATTACTTAAATAGTTAATTCCATTTTGTAAACAGTAATTTTATTGCACTTTCGGGTAGGCATAGCCTCAGAAATAATGCTGGAAATGTGATGTATATTTTGTACTGTGTATAACGGTTTGGGGGTTTACATTTTTAAAACCTTGTAAAGATATTTAGTTTTATCTCCAACGTGTTATTTTGCGGTGCTGGGCTTTGATTCTAATCTTGCTTGCAACAGCAGAAGTCAGGAGTAACTCCAGTGAAATCAAAAGAGTTACACAGTGTAAAACTGGTGCGAGATCCGAATTAGATTGGGTAAGGTTTTGACGATATGAGTAAAGTCCTTTGTAAATCTCAAAAATTAGTTTCATAGGAGAGTGGACACTGCCAATGGGGAATGTGAGATAGAGATTTAATACAAATGATCAGATTGAGGACTCAGAACTAGATTGTAAACTCTTTGGGGCAGAGACCATCTGTTATGTGCTTGTGCATTGATGGGCATAATGAGGCCATAGAGCCCCTAGAGCCCCTAGGCACTACTATAGTACAAGTGATAAATACTAATTTTTGTTACAAATCTGAATACAGAATAAGTAATAAAAGCAGGGCTTTGAAGAGTGAAAAGCTCTACTAAAAGCCACTATATAAAATGCAGCAACATTTGTCTTTGCTACAGTAGTAGAATCCTAAGGTTATGCTATTGCAAGGGGCTGACAGCCAGGTGTTGAGGATACTAAGAGGCTGTGCCTCAGGCCTTACGGGTTTTAGCCACTGGTGCAGCAACACTGCTAAGCTCAGCTGTGCTGGTGTAAGTCACAGTTCACACTGATGCAGCACATCTACACTAGGGGATTGCACCGGTGCAGCTATATCAATGTAGCTAGTTCCCACATGCTCTCCCCCTTCTAAAATTACAACTTCACAACTCATTTGCCCTCCCATCTTGGAGCAGTTTGTTGTCTTCCCCCTCCAAGTTGGCAGTGACTTTTGAGTGATCCTCAGACCTTCCACTCATCTACTTCGTATTACAGCCCAGTTTTGCACTTGAAAGAGCAACGTATGAAAATAAAGGTAAATAAGATCAAACATCACTAAATACTACATATGTTGGTTACTTTTTATCAGGCTAACAATTTCCTCATTTCATTACCTTTTAAACATAATGAATATAAAATGATGTTCTCACTGAGAAATACAGTTAAGATTTAAAATCTTCTCTGGTGACATTTCTGCCCTCTACTGTATGTATATTTTGCACTTTAGTACAGAATGCCATAGCACCTAATGTACTGGAGTTTGTTTTTGTTTGTTTAATAACAAAAATAAAAGGCAGCACTGTTTGATGTGTACATTCAAATCAAAACTTCTGTCAAATTGCATGTGATGCTCTATATATACACACACACACACACACACCTGCTAGTATCAGGCTGACAATCTTTACAAAACTGGGTTCAAAATATTTAAAAGGACATCAATAAATTTAAAAATCATTTCTGTAATTTTTTAAATCTACCACTGGCATAAGCAACTCCCTACGATTACTATTATTAAAAGGGTTTAGAATAAAGCCTCAATTTTTTCAGGTTTTTAATATATGCATTTGACAACAATTTGTATGTCATCAGTTTCACTACTATCCTCTGTGGGGGGCTTTCACACAACAAGAGAAATTGAGGGCAGATTCAAAAAGTAGGTAAATGTGTATGTAACACCACAAAAACTGGTAGGATAGCTACAGGAAAGAGGTAGTACTTTTAACTCTTTAAAATAATTTAAAGTTGGCCGTATCTCTTTAGCCAATTAGAACTGAGCATCCATATTCTATTTCACAACACATATTGAATTCAGGGAAGGTGAATGCCCCTATAACACTACCACCTACAGCTGTCTCTACTGACATCTACTGGATAGATCTTGATCCACATTCCTGCACCATCCATTACTTTGTAACGATCTCCCAGCATTCAATTGATGGTTAAAAATGAACCTAAACCACTTTTGAAAACATAACAATTAAATACTATGAGGGCCAGAGCAACATTAAAAAGTTGCTCAAATATTAAGCTATAAGCGATCATCCAGTCACAGCACAAGTTACTCTCAAATACTTACTGCAAGCCAAGAAGTGAGAATTATTTTCTCTAAGGGGTTCTGCCATCAAATCCATTCTTTGCTTCCATGCTGTGATAGTTTCCTGCCTCCACAGGTCAACTGCCTGTGTTCCACAAGTTGTTCTCTGTGCCCTTGCACTTTCCTGTAGAAAAGCCATCTCACCAGCATACTATCACAGGCATACAAAAAAGTATAGGTTAGGTACAATGCCTGGGTTAAAGATTTTTTTTTTCTTGATGACTACAAGGGATTGTTACATATTGCAACAGGAGATCTGATTATCTTAATGAGCACTAATGGTTGCAGCTACTTACATTGTTCAGGCCCAGTATTTCTCTTGCTGATCTCCTGCAGCAATGAATTGCCCAGGTTTCTAGCACATCTTTATAGCACATCACCCTAATGTCCAATGCTGTTGATTTGCTACATAAAACAGTATTTCCGCTAGTTAATGCTAGGTGTAATGGTTTAGCTGGGTGTACCTTTGTCATATTATAGGATAGAGGCAAAGGCAGGATCGATCAGTTCTTAATGGTCTTCAGAAGTTGTTTGAATGTGTCAAGTATGTTAACATCCTGTCTCTACTATAACTTCCAGTAACTCCCATAACCTTTAAATACATGTGTATAAGCTTTCTTGGAACTTTTCCATTTCTATTTTATAGTCCAGTTGAAGAACCCCAAATTACACATTTCCAAATTAAGACTTATTGTTCTAAACCAGTGCTTAGATTAAGTGATGCTTGTGCCTTGAAGGACAGACACAAAAACTGATGGTGTGATCTTAGCAGTTTAACACAACATGCCTCCCCTTTCTTATGCCTGGTTACTGGGAGGGAAGTAGTATTCCCCTTGATCTGAAATCTTCTCTCTGCTTATATGATGGGGATATGTGAGTGATTATTCTCCTTCCATCAGATCAGTTACAGAAGCACCAGTGAAATCCATAGATTCCATAAGAAGCCTCTGAACCAGATATGGTATAACTTTGCAATGTCATTTTCTGTTTTAATGCTAGCATATAAGCACTACACTGGTTCTGCCTGGTTCATAGACTACCACCGGTATGGCATGTTAGTCCTATACCTCTCTTTGTAAGTAATACCCATTTTTTGCTTGATCCCAGAATTGGGGCCTCTCCCTGGAAACAGATTCAGGTGGAGCCACTACTGCCAAGAATTTGAAACACTGGGTATAATAAGTGCACTTTAAAAAAAACTCAACAAGTATTGATCTCTGTAGAAATTCTTTATTCATAGAGCTGATAGCACTGAACAATCCATACAGCAAAGCCACATCCAAATAGCATAGTTCTTCACTCGCACATTCCAAACAAGGAAAATTCAGTCTATAACTTACTCTCCCCTACCTAAATAGAAGAGCCAAAGTGACATAGAAGACATCAGACACCCATAATAGATGCATACATGCAAAGAGCGGCTTCTCTTCTTCCCAGGGATGTCCCCTGCCATCAGTAGGAAGTACACCAAAAACAGTACAAGGACCCAGTTTAATCACACTTGTGTTTGAAGTTTTGGGTTTTGATTTTGTTTTAAAACTTATTCTGGTTGAAACTAACACCAAAGATTACTGTGACTGAAGATTAGAGAGAGAATTGTCTTTTTCTGTTTTTGCTTTGTGCAGTTGACAATGCTACTGAGGAAACAGTGAAACAAGTAGGGCCCAAGTGTTGTGTAATGGCCTGTTGTGTCATCTTGGGCAAGTCACTACATCCCTGTGCTTCTTTCCCTTCCCACACCTTCTCTGTTCTGTCTATTTAAGATTATAAATTCTCTGGGGCAGAAGCTATCTATCACTAGGTTTCTAAGGGCTGAGCACAATGGGGCTCTGATCTCAGTTGAGACCTCTACCATACAAAACTACAATGCAAATTGATAATATTTGTATATGTGAGTAACCTTACTTATGTGAGTAGCCCCATTAACTAATTAGTTCCTCCTGTTAAATCTACTGAATTTTTTTAATTGACTTTGTTTCAAGACGACAATGTCCTTTTAACAATGAGTTAGGAATAAAATTTCTCATCTTAACTCTAAATATTCTTGCATTTGTAAATTCAAGTCAGAGACTTAACACTGTTTTAATTTGTAACAACTATTGGCTTTTTTAAACCCATAGAATAAGACAGCTGCAAAAGCTGCTTCAAAACTAGTCACCTCTATACATCTATTAAAGTTCAGTTAAGTTTGTGTTTTATTGCTAATGCAAATTAGTTGTCTATGATCTCACTTCAAATAAAGAGCTTTAAATTTCCTTAATGTGATGGACCTGTAGTATCAACTACACAGTAAAAATATTTTTATGAAACAAAGCTTACTGGGAAGTAACCATTAGTAACTCTGGGGATCATTTATATTTTTTCTCTGCTTGTACCAAAAAGGTTTAATCAAATTAGAAGTGTCAAACTATCTAAAAGTCGGTATGTTGACTTTGCAGTCATATAAAACTAACAAAGGGTATTTTTAAGATTAAAAAACCACAAACCTGATTGTCATGTTGTGCTCTCCAGTGCTGGCAGTGAACACACAAGGTGCCAGAATAAAGGTATTAAAGCAGCATATAGTATATAAAACTAGACTCCTTTCAATTAAGAATTTTTGGGGAAATGGTTTTAAAAAACTGTCTAGCTATTTAAAAAAGCACAGCTGGGTGATTTTACAAAAAAACAAAAGTTATTTGTGAACTTAATCTAATTACTGTCTGTATTTCATTCTGTCTTAGACTCAAGTGTTTGTTATAATGCATATGCTATTACTAGTTAGATTTACTATAGAGCAGTGGTGGGCAACCTGTGGCCTGTCAGAGTAATCTGCTGGCAGGCCGCACAACCGTGTTTAAATTGACCGTCCGCAGGCATGGCTGCCCACAGCTCCCAGTGGCCGTGGTTCGCTGTTCCCGGCCAATGGGAGCTGCGGGAAGCAGAACGGGCTACAGGGACATGCTGGCCACTGTTTCCTGCTTCCCACCTGCGGACGGTCAATGTAAACACTGTCTCGTGGCCTGCCAGCTGATTACCCTGATGGGCCGCAGGTTGCCCACCACTGCTGTAACGTATCTACAACTAAAGGCTGATCTGCATGCACAGTAGAGTGACTTTGGAGGTGGAGTTATTTTTCCACATCTGCCCAAAAGCATTCCTTGTTTTCTTTCCAAGAATATTCCTCCTCATAAATCTCCTGCAAACAAAAACAAAAAATGGGAAGTGCTTCAGGAGTCTGCTACATACAAATACAACCAGTGCACAAAAATTCAACAGCTAATCTGCTATTAGTTATACAGTACAAACAATTTGCATAGTGTTTGGCAGACACAGAAAAAGAAGACACTGTCTTGAGATGCATACAGTGTCAGGCCCTGATTCTGCAATAATTTCCATGGAGGGACACACCAAGCCTATGCAGATCTCCACTGAAATTAGTAGGGCTCTGTGCAGGGTCCACCTACACAGAGCTCATGAATGAAAGCATAAGCTGCAGCAAACATAGTGCTCGTGATGATCAAGTTTTAATGCATTTGCCTTTTACATTATTCCATATTAAACTACTGAGCCTTTATTTTATAAAGGAGGATATTTAACTTGTTCATAAATCAGAGATGCTAAAAAAATGACTAACACCCAAAATACTGGAAGCTGACAATCAAGGGCCAAGTCCTCAGAACTGAACATTTGGAACCCAGAATCAGTCCTGTCCCAAAGCACTGATCATCCTTTCTCAGACCATAGCCACAGTCCCTTACATCCCTCTGCAATATAAATCACAGAAGTGGACAGCTGACTGTTTTAAGTGCTTATACAACTATCGGACTCCAGAGACAGAGAACACGGTGAAGACGAAGGTTGGCACTTTTTGTAAAGTGCAATACTTAAATTCACCTTTTTCCAAATTGGAACAGTTGCTTTCAAAGTGTTGATGCAGTATTGCACAGCCTCAAGAGATGCCACTCGGTGTGGAGAGGAGACTGCTACGATCACACTTGCTTCTGTTACTGGAACTAAACTAGGGAAAGACAGGAATAGGACATTGGACATAACATTTACAGTGCATTAGCATCTAAAGTCCTCAACAATGGCTGGGCTCCATTCTCCCAAGGCACTGTACACAACACAGAGTAAATGAGCATCCTTGTCCCAAACAGCTTATACTCTAAAAACACAAAACCCACTCAACTTGAATCAGCAACCGATGTTCAAATCCTACGCTTTTTACAAACGTATTTCCTCAATTTTTCTTTTTAAAACAGGTTTATAGGATTAGATAGGAAAATTGTTTTAGACAATACAGCATAGAGCAGAACTTTGCTAACTTGCAAAAATGATTGTGAAACCCATTGCAAGGGACTGAGTTTTACCAGTGAACAAGTATCAATCAGTAAGGGCCAGTTCTAGCCTCTGTGTACCTGCATAATCACTGACAGGCTGCACATGTGAACCTGGCAGTACAGTTTGGCCCGCTAATAGCACGGTTCTGCATCCATACTGAGTTTGTAAAGATTTTTAGTTTCAAATTATGAGGATATTTTTCATCTAGTGTAATACATTTTGTAAAAATAAGTGAAGTCTCACATTACCACTGTTCAGTAATGCTAGGTTATCTTTGCTGAGAGGTGGGGAGGCAGCCATTTGTGATGTGCTCAAATTAGACCCTGATCCCGAATCAGGCTCCACTAGCACCAAAACCTGCATCTACCCACTGATTTCACTGATTCCAGGAGATCCCAGTACAGGATGGACCTGGTAAGATTCATGCACCATTATTTTCCAATGGATCTGCATTTTAAACTCAACAAAAGAGTAATTGTCAAGTTGTGGGAAAACCCTTGATCTCCCAGTCAGCATGACTGGCAATGCCTATTTCAAAGATATTCCAGGGTAGGACTGAATTCTAGACCTTGTATATTCTGGTAAACTTGACTTAATTTCTGCAGTGAAGGGCTTGGATTCTGTGGTACCCCAGGGCAAGAGACTGGAAACACTATGGCAGCTTCAGATAAATCTTAGTTTTATTTTCACTGTGTTTCAGGCTACGCGCAGCCTCAGGCATCCATCACCGCACTGGTTTGTACGTGATTCATGTTTTGAAAGTTTCTTTGGCAACTCAGAGATGGAAACTGATTTTTTAAAATGACCAGGCACTGCAGCACAATTTTGCAGCAAGGGGTGGATTCAGTGGCAGGTTTCGCAGCAGAGAATATGCAGGTTCCTGCCCACACCATATGCAATTACAAGCATACTGACATTTAATTCAGATTTAGTTAGATACATCTTGGTCATACATACCCAAGTCTATGGTGCACTGCTATATGTTTGACTGAAGGCCATTTCTGTCTAACATCTCTACAGATTTTCTTTATTTCAGCTTCTGCCATTGGTGAGTATGCTTCATATTCTAAGTGAATCACCTTTTTCCCTTCGAAGTTATTCCTTGTAGTACCTAAAAATAAATGAATTACTAAAAACAAATAAGTTATTTATTTCTATTGCAATAGTACGTGGGAGCTCCAGTCCTGGGTCAGGACTCCATTGTGCTAGAACAAAAATATACTCCCTGCCCCAAAGAGCATACGATCTAAGAATGTCAAACTACATATTTCTTATTCTGGAAAAGGTTCAACCAGCTCACTGCAATGAGCTGGAAGTGATTGTTTTTTAAGTACGTTAGCAATTCTTAACGTATAAAAAGGACAGAATTTAACCCACAGATTTTACATGCTGGAGTTACCAATGCCCAAGATGGCAACATCTTCACTAGCACAGATCTGGCCCTATATGTTTAGAAAGTTGTGCCTGTTGTCACTGCAGTTGCTCATACAACACGAATAACTGTATGGAATTTAGGCACACAATGTTACTCACTTCTGAGCACAAAGGGTTCTGAAAATGTAGGTCCTGATATACTAACCACAAGGCTAGAATTAAGTCTCATCTTTTCAGATACTATTTTATGAAGAGGTAAGTTGCATATGGGCTATACTGTGAGATTTAACCCCAGCCCTACACTGGAGGGTTGTGGAGGTACAGCCCTGGTGGTCAGCACATGAGGTTGACAGAACCATAGTTCTATCTACTCCCCATCTCCTTTTGTGTAAGTTGCTCTGGGGGAGAAACTAGCAGTCCCTGTGCTCCCCAATATAGGGGCTGCAATTCTAGGCTGACCACACCAGCAAGGAGGCTCCTTAGGACCTCATTCCCTATTGCATGAGGGCTGGCCATGATCTTGCTCGAAATGATTAATACATAATTTGCTAAATATTATTGGTTTGTCCCAGAGACTTATTTTTTAAGTAGTCTCAGAAGCATGAGGTTGAACTTATGAGGTGACCTGTGCTCTACTTACTGATGGATATACACATCCAGGGATTTATTTTAGGAGCATTAAACTCACCTATGAACAGGGACACAGCCCCACAGCATGGAGAAATCACCAGCTCTGACACTTCATCTGTAGAGAGTTTTTCATAGTTCAGTTTGATGAAATCTTTGGGTTCATCTTTATTTTCATTCATGGCTTCTCTGGAAGGAAACAGAAAGCTACAGAACTCAAAGATTTAATAAGTTACTTTTCTGGTTACATTGGCCATTTGGAAGCTGCTTTTTAAACAGCCGTGAGGCCTGAATTTATCCAGCAAATGTATGGCACCCACTAACATGCCTCAGCTGTAGGGCTCACCAGCAGAAATGAAAAAGTAGGTCAGTCCCCATGCAGAATTAGTTCTTAGCCCCTTTGCTGGGAGAACACTAATTGCACTTCTTGTTGGCAATTTCTGGAGGTACAGGGGCTCAGTTTGTTTTAATATACCAATTCTAGGACCCAGTCTGCAGTGGGATCAGCTAACAGAGACCCTTGTGCTAGCATGTCCTACTGTATGGCTGGCTATAGTAAGAATGTCAAATTATAAACTGTCTGGAGTTAGAAGAAGGCAGGGAACCTTATTATGATAAAAAAAAACTGCTCCAGGGGCAGTTTAAAAGCATTCTTTCAGTCAGGGCTCATTGATAGAGCAGCAACCAGTCCAGAAAGGGACACCTCCACTTTCTATGGGAACAAGAGATGTCACTTAATCTGGGAAGCATGAGGAGGAGCTCGTTTAACAGCAGTGAGCTAGATTCTGATCTCAGTTCCACCAGCATAAATCAATGGAGTTATCCCGATTTATAGTTCTTGAGACAGTGAGTATTTCATCCACTGAGACTATCTGAAAGGAGAGATGTTCTTTTAGCAAAAGAGAAACAGGATAATTTTATATTTCAAAATTGCTTTAAATCATCTCTCTAGCATCTTAATTTAAAAAAGTCAAAGTGAAAAAAGATTTTTTTTTATTGTGATATTAGCCAACCATGAGGATTGGCACCTCTACTGAAAGCCAACAACTATAAAAGCACAAAGAGATCTTTAAAAAATACAACTTAAAGGACATTATCAAAGGGACTTAGGAACCACTAGTCTTCATAAAACCCCTGCTTAGCTGCTATCAAACTCCATAGGCACTCAACCTTCCTTAGCACCTAAGTTTTTGCATTGAAAGTTTTCAGGGAGCCTATTTTTCGGCTTCTGAGCATGCACACTATTGTCTCACTCTAGGTAGCTGGGCACCTAAGCCCCAGTGTGATGCACAAAGCAATGGAAGATAGGCATTCCTCCTCCTAACTCACTCGTGGGGCCAATCCCATAGGTATGCTCAGACCATGGTTAACGCCACACAAAGTGGGGGTGGGGGACCTGGGGGTGGGGGACCTGGACTTCCCTCCTAACTTGTGGCCCAGTGATTAGGGTACTCACCTGAGATGTAAGAGTCCCACCGCCTGAGGGAAAAAGGGATTTGAAGAGGAATCTGTCACCTCTCCGGTGAGTGCTGTAGCTACTAGGCTATGGGATAGTCTGACATGGGCCTCCCTTAGTCTCTCCCATTAAAGCTGTTCCACTGTGGATAAATAATGAGTTAGTCGGTGGGCCAGAGAGACAGAGTGCAAGAGCATGTGAATGACTCTACAGCCTGGTGATTAGAGCACTCACCCAGGATATAGTGGACACAGGATCCAGTCCTCCCGCTCCAATGATATACGAACACGAAAGACTGAGGGAGACCCATATCAAAAACATCCCATAGTCTGAGAGGTAGCAGATCCCTGTTCAAATCCCTTCTTCCCTCTCAGGCAGAGGGGCAACTTGAACCAGGGGTCTTCCACATCCCAGGGATGTACCCTTACTGCTGGGCCAAAAGTTATGAGAGAGATGGTCCTTCACTGCCACCTTTGGTGCCTAACTCTGAAAGAGGGTTCACAGCTGAGAATCCAAAGCAGAAGGAGGCACTCAACTCCTTGAGAGGGGTCGGGCTTAGGACACATCCTTTTCCTTGGCATCTCCTATTGGCTAGTTTATGCCACTCCCTACCTAGTGTGCTGGCTTTTGTGAATCCCACTCTTACGTGCTTAGCTCCTGCCACTCATTGCCCAGGAAACCCGAGTGCCTAACTCAGGCTTTGTGAATCCCAGTGATTTGTCTAGGCAACCAAGTCCCTGTGTGAATCTAGCCCAAAGTATTTTGAAAGCTTTTTCCAATCTGTTGCAAATATGTTAATCATTTATTCCTGCACCAACTTACACCTCAGTGTCAGCATCATGGCTGTCTATTGCAGGGGATGCATGTTACACCTTCTCAGAGAGTACTAGCAGACGGGGAAAGTCATCCACAAATCACTAGACCCTAAACAGAGAGGAAAATTAAAAAAAGAGAATTCCAGCAATGTTTCAATGCATGATCAACCCACATAGGCCATTTACAAGAAGAAGCTATACATACCTAAGTGTGTTTGCCTGGAGTTAGCCCCCGCTGATAGGTGGGATAATGGCAACCTCGTCACCTGACTGCAGGACCAGAAGCTGATCACCAAGAAGCACGTATTCCTGGCGAACAGCGAAAACCACTTGATCCTGAAGGGCAGCAAGTCTAAGAAGGATTAGCAGTAGCATAAATACATTTAAGTAAAGCGTTTGCATGAATTCTCATAGTTAAATGTGAAGAATTGACTGGTGCATAGCTCAGGGAAGCTGAAGTCAGTAAGATTACGACTTATGCATCTGCATTTGTACTATTTTTTTTTTTTTAATCACAACAAACAACTCTATGCCCTTGGACTTGGTGATTATCTTTTCATGGGCAAGGGCGAGTGGTGAACCAAACCAATAAAATTTCTAAAGATAGGAACTGAGCTGGTTATTTCAAGCAAAATAAAAAATAAATTATATACAGTGGATAGGAAGATACCATGTGTCCAGTAGAAAAGAGTGGTGAAGCTTTATTTAGAAAAGGTAAAATGAATCATAATAAAGGAATTATACTTTGCGCTTACAGCGTATAGCACAGACGGGGGAAAATACTATTGCCCAGATGCAAGTAGATGTGCCAACTGGGCAAGTAAGACTGTCAATGTGTTAGTGATCTGGTTAGAAGCCAGTGGTGACTGCTGACAGAAAGGCAAAACACAATTTCATTTTCTAGCCAAGTCAGGGTATGTAACATCTTCAAGAGCTTTGCACAATTTGCTACTGTAAAACATAATTTGATTTGCTTTTCATAGGGAGAATAAAACTTGCAAACTACAGGCCACAAAATGATCAAAGTTCATAGGTTTTAGTAATCAATCCAGTATTAGGCTATATGGTAAAATGCACTCCAGTTTGATTACAGGCCTGTCTCATCTTACGCGGGGGTTCCGTTCCACGGTTAGCGCGTAAAGCGAAAACCGTGTATAGTCAAAATTACATTGAGTTGAATGGCGGGCAGAATCGTCCCACTACAAGTACAGTATTAAAATTGTTGTTCTTTTTCCTCTTTTTTTTGTTTTTGCCAACCGCATAAAGCTGAAATCGCACGTTAAATGCGTGTAAGATGCGACAGACCTGTACTTGCTACTGCTACCGCAAAACCCAATTTTGTTTGATTTTAGGCAAGACCCTCTCTAATATTTAATTACAGCCTTTCAGTTGCAAGCTTAGCTGCTGCTACTAATGCCAGCCAGTTTAATGCAAAAATCAGTGAAATATTCACTCTTTTGAACATATTTGTAGAACTACATGCTCACAAATAAGATCACAAGTAGCAAAATGTAGAACAGATTTTACTACTTTTATTATACTGAAAAAATGACATACATTTAATTCAACTATATTACATTTGTAACTCCGTTAACAGTTTACAAAACCCCAAACTTGAGGCGCACCAGAGGTATGCGCTAGTCTAAAACTACCTTGGATGCCTTTTAACAATTTCTTCCCACAGCTGTAGAGAGGTTAATTGTTGCGGTACAGAAATAATCTCAGAGCGAACACCTGCCAATTCAGCGCTCCTGGCAAAGTACAGCGCAACAACCTGTTGAAAGACAAATCGCCATTCAGATTACACACCATTCATCTCCTGTCTCCTCAATGGGTATTTATAGCGCAGGAAATGGGCCCCAAACCCATCAACATCATCCAAGGAAGAATGCTGGATTAAGCGTTACGATTTTTTTTAAAAAATCACATGCGAGTCCGTGGTTCTCCACTTTCGTTTCACTTCTTCGCGTTAATGCCTGATCTCGTTTTAGGCACGATAACCATGACAGCTCATGACAATGACTGCAGCCCAGGCTCCCCACGCCCGTACATGATTAATTAGGCCCGGCTGCAACTGCTTACTAAATTGGGGGCCCTTAAGGAGGTGGCCAGTGTTCTTGTGACTCCCGCAACAGAATAAATGGGGAGTGTCGGGAAGGGGGCTGATTACCAGGTGTCCCGTGGTCACCCAATCCCCCTGCAGCCGAGTCCAGCAAACACCAGCACGCCCTGAGCGAAGGGGCTGCCCGGGGCACTGCAGAGCGGCTATTGCCGGCTCTCCCTAGGGGAGCAGGGAGCGAGCCCCGCCGGGCGGAGCGGCACGTTTCCGGCTGCCCGCCGTGCCCCGTCCCGGTGCCGTGTAAACACCCGCCGGCCCGGGTGCAGGCTACGCACCTCGCAGCTCATTGACGGAGCGTTGCGGGTCGGAACCCGCTTCCCGAAGGGGAACAGGCTGCTGCGCCTGCGCCCGGCCCGAGCAGCTGCGCGGAGCCAGCCGGCTGGCCCTGCCTCCCGGCCCGCCCACTGGGCTGGGGCTCCAGCCTGCCGGGGTCCCTCGCCCTGCTACAGGGCAACGAGACGCCAGCCCGGGGAGACCAAAGGGTCCGGCCCGAGGGCAGGCAAATGCGGCTCCAGGCAGCCCCACAGTGGGGACGGAGCGGGAGCCCCAGCGCTGAGCCCATCCCAAACCGGGGGCGCATTGAGCGGCTCAGCCCCGCCGTGGTCATAACGGGGCTAGAGCTCTAGTGACCCCGGGAGAGGTGGATGGACGTGGGTCCCTAGGTCTGTCGCAGGCCGGGGTCTCTGGCGGTGGGGCGGCTCAGATGCGACATGCCCCAAGGCCAGAGGTGTCCTGGCACTGACAGCTGGAGGGCCTTAGCTAGTACAGGCCGCTGCGGGAGTGTCCTCGGCTCTAGCCTGAGCATGAAATGAGCCAGCAGGTACCGTTCTCTGCAGTAACAAACAAGCTCTCCCGGACATTCGTTACAAGTGAATTAGGCTGAAAGGTCCTCAGGGCAGCGACCCCGGCTTTGAATTTGTTCTGTGACGTCCAGCACTGTTTTTTTGGACGGTGTATCAATAACCAATTTGCAATCAAGGGATCCAGGCACTCAGTTTCATGTTATAAACATACAATGCAATTAAAAGGAATGGTAACACCAGATGGTCTCAAAATATCCATAGTGTGTGTCATATTTTAATACAGAGATTGTCTTGTGGGTCACCTGCCTTCCTATTTATAATCACCTAGCATCCTTTCTGATAACTACAGCAATTGGTTACAGGGAACAGTAACAGTGGGACAATATTTAAAGGAGTGTTAGCTGACTCAGTACAATTAACAGCTGGAAATAAGGAGGAGCATCCAGCATTATATGACAAATAAATGCTCCGAAGACCAATAACAAATGTTCCATATACCACAACATGAGAAACTTTGATGTAATAAACCTCTGGCCAGGTAGGCCTACAGTTGGTCACTTGCAAGGTCTCTTCTGTTCTCTGCCTGTGGCACAGACCAGTTTAGTCTCCTGAGGGCTAAAATGCTTTGGACTCAACATAGGCATATTTGGGAGAAAGTTAATGGCCTGGGATATGCAGGAGGTTAGACTAGATGATCTAATGATTCCTTCTGACCTTAAACTCTATGAAACTATGAATCTATGTTTACTGACAATTGAAAATCAGTGATTTCCTGCACTAAATAGCTCTGAATGCCAAATATGAAATGGGAGGCAGGGCTGAGTAAAGACAGGTGTTTGCAATGGAGTTGAAGAGTTTTGTATGAAATATTGACATTGGTAATGTGGAATATTGGCTTTATATTTTTAGCATTAGAGAATTGAAAACCAAATCCTTCTGCTCGTCACAATTTCCTTCTCATCTTGAGGAGGGTCAGGTGGTTTATTGGAAAATTCTATTTAATATCAGAAAAAGTTTTGGCAAACTGATGTTAACATTAAGCAGAGTGACTTATTTTCTGTCTACACGTCTGGAAACTGCTCATGCTCTGAAACAAATTCTACCCATTTCAACTGGTGTAAATCTGAACTACCTGGAGGTGACGCTGGATGTACATGGCTGTAACTGAGATAAGAATATGCCTCCTGTGTGTCTCAATCCACTGCTGTCAGGAAACAAATGAGTTAAATTTTTCAAAGAAATAAATGCTCTCTTCCATTTGTGAATGAAGTGAATGATTAACTACTGTTACAAATTGAACTCTGCTCAAGACATCATGTGCCAGATGAATAGCATGTCCATTTGTAACCGTGAATAACCTGATCATTTTCTTTTCTTTTTTCTGGATTATGTATTCTTGGAGCGGTGCATCTTAAATGAAATATGTCACTTTGACAGGGTCTATATAACCCAGCCAGTAGCTGGCAAGGGGGTTAGCACACACACCCTGAGCATGATAACATAGCTCCCACAGGTGCATGCCCTGCAAGTAGAGATTGCCATTCGGGGAACTGAGCCATGAGGGGAATGTGGGTGGTTGGGTTCATCTGGAGCAAATTAATCATTCAGGACGACCACAAAAGCAGTGAACTCTAAAGGTTGTGTGTCTGGATTTTGGGTTGAGCTGGGAATCAAATTCACCCTGAGGTGAGGGGAAATTAGCTGCAGGAAGCAACTCTTTGGATTTTCTTTATTTGAACCCCCACTAAGAGCTCATCCAGCCCTTCACTTGCTATCTTCAGCCATTATTGCTGACAGAGGTTGTCAGCTGTCCTATGTTGTGTGACTCTGGTTGAAGTCAGAATTTAGCCTATAGAATATGAACCAGGAAAACAGTGGGACTATTTACTCACCCTTGTTATCTATTAACACACCATGGCCTTCAGACAGAAAACTGCTCTTTTAATGAAAAGGTTAGTACACATACTCCCACATACACTTACTTTTACCCCTTTCAATAATATTTCTTTGGAACTTTAAGAGTTAACTGAAGCCCTTTAGAGTGGAAGTGTTCTAGTCTGCTCTCCAGTTTGTTTTTCCATTTTAAAATGCAATGGATGCAAAATAACCGAGGAAGGATCCCCGCTACTCCTGAATCCCCCTCCCCCCCCAAATGACACAAACAATGAAAAATTAAATGATAGTAATACCAAGGAGAGAAAGTGGCAAGGAGTTGTGCTATTATTGTTTTTATATTATTTCTTAAAGTGCCAGTGATGCACTTCAAACTGTGAAGATATGGAATGAAGATAAACCTTCCCCTAAATAGGGGACAATCTAAGGCCCTTATCTTGCAATGAGCTCTACAGGGGAAGGAACCACATAAAAATCAATGGGGACTATTCAAGTGCAGCAATCTGCTTGCGCAGAGCTCATTGCAGGATTGAGACCTGAGAGAGAGGGGACGACAGGATGCATTGGGCAGACTAGCAGAAGAATGAACTGGAGTGATTTTATTATTTCTCTTAATTTATTTTTGCTGATGACTTACTTGCTGTGGATAATGCAGAAAATGTGAATTCTTAAGGCCACGCTGACAGTTATTGCCCTGGAATTGATATTTCTGACACAAAGCATCTAGTAGCTTTCCCATTTTTTTTCAGTTCATTTTGGACCAAATTATTCTCTCAACTATTGGTGTAAATCTTGAGCTGAAATCCACGTTTACATTCATGTAACTGACCACAGAACTTGACCCATTCCTACTTCACAGTCATCTTCAATTCTGTTATGTTGATGCTAGAGCGCAGTTGTAGAATCAGCCGAGTTTGCTTTAACCTGAAAAGGGGATATAGTACTCTGTTGTTGGCTGGGTGCCCATGAAAATTCCTGGCTTTGGCCAAAACTCATAATAGAGCCAAAAGTTTGATTTTGCAGTCACATTGGGAGATCACTAAAAATCTAATACTCATTTCAAAACCATTGTTATTTATTTTTGCCATCACTCTGTATAGCATTTTGCAGGTAAATGAAAAGACATGGTGCCTGGCCTGAGAAGATCAGTTAAATCAAAACATAGTAAAACAACTGATATTTGGGGGCACATAAATTGGCAGTAAGTAGACACAAATTTATCTATAACCTCTTTTATTGTGTCTGAAATAAGCAACATGCAATAAAGTTTAGCAGTTAACAAAATTCTGATTCACCCCTGGTTAGTGGCTAGTATCTTAGATATACACGCACAGACCATAATGAACCTGGCTATTGATAAGTAATATCATACATAGAAAGACTGACTCATTCCTCTTATTTCATGAATACTGAGATCAAACATAGAAAGAACTCCCATTTTGATGAGCTGCAACAACCCCATATTCCATGTTGAAAACAGCTCAGTTTGTGTGTCAGCTCTTTCATTTGTTATGGTCAATCAGCCAGTTTAAACAAGTTTAGTTTTAACCTCCTTCAGAGATTCCACTAAAAAGAAAACAAAATTGTTTTCAATACATACCAGGAAACTTTCACACCAGATGTAAGAGGATCTGTTGCCATTGATTTCCAATCACTCCACTGAATTCCATTCTGAATTTGGCCCAATATATTAACAATAGTCATATTCTGGAACACATTTTCAAAGCCTTATTCTGGAAGGACAGAGAATTGTTCCCTGAGTTCCCATGGTGGCAGAATGATTGAAAAGTGAAAATATGAATTTGTCTGAGGCACTATGACCTCTAGAATTTGTGTGTGAGAGGTATCTCTAGTCATTTGACCAATGTCTTTAACATCCTCTTGGCACTCTTTGAAATTGTCCATTACAAAACAGATGGTGCAGTAGTTACTTTTGAAGGACTAGAAGAGCATGACCACATCTGGAACTAATCTTTTGCTCCCTGGACCAAAGATCACCCAGGTTTAAGAGGGCCTTTCAATCTAAAATGCCTTGTACAAGTACATACAAATAGACACATTTGAAGGCAAGCAGAACAATCTTGAACTGTACTTCACAGGTACACAATTTTTCTGTGTGACTACCTCCTTTATAGGCAGTTCTGTTTTACATGCAATTATATTTTGCTTGCAGTCAACAGTAACAGTAAACTAAGTAGGTGGAATCAAAATGGACATGTTGTCTGGGCACATATTGTCATGTGCTTGTGTAAAGTGCTCTCTTTTCTATTCACGGTTCTGGTGCAGTTTCCCCAAGAGAAATATTTTACATTTTTATAGTGCCCAGCATCCCAAAGGATACAAAAATATTTCATAAACTATATAAACATGCACACAACACCATTCAAGCAGTGCCACGCCTGAGGTGTGGAGGTGCAACTAACCAGTATAACCCATGCTTGTATAGCATTGTGGGAAATGGAAAAAAAAATTGTCTGAAGGTGCTGGGGCAAGCCCCTTGTCTTATGATAGTGTTTATGCAGGGCAAACATTTGATCCCAAAGATCCTCACATTTCAAAGTGAATAGTACTCAATTTATCTACACTGGAAGAAAAAATGGATTGGTCTACCTGCCTGGGATTTGAACCTGTACTTCAGGAAGTCTAAGTATTTTAAACAAGCT